TTTGGAGAACAAGAGAGGTAGTGAATGGCCAAGCAAACAGAATAATGCAGCCGGTTGACATTGGCCAGCTTCTGACATTGGCCCCTGTGGTGCTGGGCAGTGAACACAGGAGCAGAGTAGCTGTGGAGCAAGGGTTCAGTCTACACATGGGCCCCGTAGCACGGGTTCCACTCATCAAGACCAAGGTAGTTGCATGTCCATCCTGCCAGCAACAAAGGCCAAACTTGAGTCCCTGTTATGGCATTAATCCATCAAGAAGAATGACCAGCTATTTGGTGGCAAATACACATTTGATTACATTGCATCGTTTCTGATCTGAAAAGGACAGTGATTGATGGTAACTGGAATGAACACGTTTTCCAGGTTGGTCATTTTTGTGCCCAATACCTCAGCCAGCACCATTACCCGAGGCTTATCCATTGGCATGAGACCCTACAGCACACAGTAGACCAAGAGACATCCTTAACAGAAAACGAGGGTCAGCACCGGACATATGGCCATGGCATCCACTGACCCTACCATGTAACTACATTATCCAGAAGCTTTGGCCTGATAGAATGAAATGGCCTGTTGAAGGCACAGCAAAGGCACCAGCTTGGAAAAAACATCTTGCAAGGATAGAGTACCATCCTCTAGGATTCCATATAAATCTCAAATCAATTATTACATGACGCTGGAGCCCCAGTCGGCAGAATCCATTGATCCAAGTATCAAGAGATGGAAGTAGGAGTCACCCCACTTACCATCACTCCCAGCAACCCAGTTGGGGGAATTGGGGTTTCCTGTCCCCACAACTCAGGGCTCAGGGGGTTTGGAAGTCCTGGTTCTTTGAGGAAGAATATTCCATTAAATTGGGGATTCTTGTTGGCATTGAATTGGCAACAATGATCACTGGTTGACAATCATAATATCACAGTCTCATGACCATTGCAGCAGTTGGGGGAAAGGGGAAGTAGTTCACCCCACTAATGTTCCTTTTGCAAATTTCCTGAGAAGAGGGGGCTGATTAGATCCTGGAGCAGTTTCCTAGGGTGTATTAGATAAACAAGTGAATCTGAACTGCACGACGGCCGGGTCCTGATCCCTGGCTTGCTGCTTATTTATCTTCTCTCTTCCCAGGACTGAAGTGCTCTTTCCACAGCTGCTGTGCATTGGTGGCCAACAGCTCTCAGCTGAGTATCCTGTGTGAGACCTGCCCTTGGCGGAGGAGAGCTGCCTTGCCCAGAGTTCAGCCCCTTCCCGGGAGCAGCCCGCATCCGTGACTGGTTGAGATGGGAATATAAATGCCTGGGCACTCGCCCCAATTTGGGTTGTCCCAGCTCTAAAGCTCCCTGTGGGATTGGCTGAAACCTGCATTGTGACAGTGTTCCATATACCTTCTCTCCAGGCCCCGTCCTGCTTTCCACACTGTCCAGCACACTTTGAATGACAATTTTCATCTAAGAGTTTGCTTCCCATTTGGTGCCATCTCTGGTTCCTAGTTGGGATCTGTGTGCCATCAGAAGGCTTAAATATCTCTACTGCTCTGTGCCCACGATTTTATACTCCAGGGGCAGACGATGCTGTGCCCAGTTACAGGCGAATTGCATTAGGGATTCCTTGAAAGCGAGGAGAGAGAGCTTGGCATAGGGGATGTGAGCGAATTCTCTTTAGTCTTGCACAAGTGAAAGGCATTTCTCCCCCTCTCCTCTCCCTTCCTGATCCTCTCTTCAAGATTTTCTGGCATCAGAGGGTCTGCTGATCCCAGGGAGGTACCCTGTGGCCACCCCACGGGTGTTGCCTGCCTCCTGGACTTGCTAACATTTGGAGGTGCATCCCTACTTGGCACTTAGGGCTGAAGTCTGCTAAGCTGCAGAAGAGACAGGGACCCCTGTTGTACCTGGAGTGGGGTGCAGTGATTGTTCTGAGTGGGAGCCATGTGTGGGAGCCACTAGAAGCTCTCTGATGGCTCTTGGGGTCAATGCTTCCACCTGAGGATCTCATGGAGAAGCTTTCCAGAAAGGCTCTGTTTGAGATATAGTTGGTGTGCAATCACCTCGGCCTCTGTCTGACTTGAGAGTGTGAATGCAGAACCCTCACCCAACCTTCCCTGCCCCAATGGGTGAAGATAGTGATTAAAAAAAAATAATCCTAATCCTCACCTGAGGATATGTATTTTTATAGATTTTAGAGAGAGAGAGAGAGAGAAACATTGATGTGAGAGAGAAACAATACTTGGTGGGCTCCCCTACGCGCCCCAACTGGGAATCGAATTCACAATCTGGATATGTGCCCTGACCAGGACTTGAACCCGTAATTCTTTGGTGCTCAGAATGATGCTCCAACCAACTGAGCCACACCGGCCAGGGCAAGATAGTGATGTTTTCTAAGAGAAAGTGTGCTTAGTGCAGGAAATCATTTGGGGTCATGGTCATGTATTAGATTCCTTACTTTCTTTCCTAAAACATGATTATCCTCATATTATGGATGGGACAATCTAGGACCAAAGTAATATAGTGAGAGAGACTTGATTTAGGGGTGAAACAGAAACCTCTCGTCTGCCAGGTCAGTGCCTCCCTTATATTGCCTGTGCCAAGGCCACCCCAAATTGTGGGCCAGTGGGACTTTGGTGTGAATGGTGTCCCTGGAGCTACACGATGCAGTGACCCTGCTGGACAAAGTGCGACACAGTGGGCAACTGACCCTCCAGATTGGCAGCCTTAGACCATGTGGAGTTCTACCAGCAGGGCACCTATGATTTTTTCTACCCTTGGGGACATAGTTGGTCTCTGTGCCCAGGCACAGGGGGCCACATGACTGACAGAAATGCAGGCTGAGTTCATAGGCTGCAGAGGAATTCTGATTTGAGTTGCTTACAGGAAGTGGAGGTCTTGTCCATGTGGTTAGAAGCTCTTGAGCTTGGCGAGGGGAAGGATGAGGAAGGGAAGTGCATTGTCTGGGCCTCTATGGCAGTGTTATGGAATTATGGAGGTTTCTGTGTCACTGGTCCTACCTCTCCAGCCACAACATCCAGCATTTCACTTTCACCTAGTCCCATTCTTCTCGCAATCGCCTTCTCCCCTCCCATCTCCCATGCCCTGATTCCGTTCTCCATCACCTCTTGCCTATACATTGCAATAGCGTGCTAACTGCTCTTCCCTTCCCCTCCCCATCCAGCCCTTCGCCACATGGTTATGACTCCCAAAGCCCCTCTGATCATGCCATTCCCCTACCCCGCCAAATCACAACTTTAAATGCCTATTCGTACTCAGGTGGCCAGATGCTCAGGTTTGCCTGGGACTGTGTTCATTTACTAGTATATCTGCTGTCCCAGCATAATTATTAATGGTGCCTCCTTTTATTCCCAAAAGTCATAATTTGGGTGATAAAAATGACGTGTTCCTCTTACTCATTACTCTCTGAATGGAGCCCAAACTCCCCACCTTCACAGACTGGCCTCAACTTTTCTTCCCAAATTTCCCCACCATTTCACTCAGCCCCTAGCCCTGCCACCTTTCCAATGGGCTTCCACCCAGCTTGAAAAACACACAGTGATAGCCCTGGCTGGTGTGTCTCAACGGTTAGAGTATCCGCCTACCCACCAAGGGGCTGAAGGTTCGATTCCCGGTCAAGGGCACGTACCTGGGTTTCAGGTTCCATCCCCAGCCCTGGTTGGGGCACCTAGAGGAGCAACCAATTGATATGTCTCTCTCACATTGATGTTTCTCTCCTTCCCTCCCTTCCACTCTCTCTCTAAGAGAGAGAGAGAGAGAGAGAGAGAGAGAGAGAGAGAGATGGGTTTGGGTGAGGATTAACAACAAAAAATAAATAAAATAAAATGAAACACTGTGATCATCTTTACTTCTAAGCATTTCTCAAGCTATCCCTCTCTCCTTCCGACCTAGCCTGAGATACCGCTAACTGAGCCCCTGCCTTGTCCACCCATCAAGACCTAGTATAGTTCCAGGCTTAGGCCTCTTTCAGTGCCTGTAAAGCCTTAGTCTGGCCGACCCTCTTGTCAAGAGTCACCTGGCCTTCCTGTGACTTGTCGGTATAGTCTGTGTATTCTGAGCTGGAGGACACTGAGGAGCGAGTCAGGCCCGGGGAGATACCACAGGCTGCTGCAATGGGTCACGGTAGAGACTTTGGGCAAGCGTGCGGTTGGCCAGGAAAAAAGTGGTGGGGAGGGTCCTGCTGAATAGTTGTCTGAAGTAAGAGAGGTCTGGGAAGCTGCTCTTGGGGACCGGAATCAGAGGAGTACAGAAGGTTTGTCTGGTCCTGTCAGTTTTCTCCTGAATCCCGTTGAAAGCCAGCCAAGCCAAAAGGTCATTTCTCAGAAACACAGTTCCCACCCCCATAATTATACCTGTCACCCCTACCTTTCTACCTCCCAGCTTAATGTGGATTCCCCACAATAATACAACTGCTGACTGTAACACAAAATACAGGTTTCTGTATTCCTAAAATAATATTTTTTTCCAGTGAACAATATGAGTCACACCTCTTCTTAAAAATACAAAACATGTTCATATCTTCGCCAGGACCCTTACACGTTTCCAGAGAGGGAGGGAGGAGAATAAGAACATAGCACTTTACAAGGGATTGGATTGGGGATCACAGAGGAGAAAGGACCTGACATGTTAAAAACAAGCAGTATTCACAGAAGAGAAGTTTAAAAACACCAGTAGCCTGGCAGCATGGCTGAGTGGTTGAGCACTGACCTATGAACCAGGAGGTCACAGTTCAATTCCTGGTCAAGGCACGTGCCCAGGTTTTGGGCTTGATCCCTAGTGTGCGGCATGCGGAGTGCTCTCTCTCATCATTGATGTTTCTATCTCTCTCTTCCTCTCTGAAATCAATTAAACGCATATTAAAAACATCAATAACTTAAATACAATAATTTGTTAATTATTAAATAAAAGCCATTCGTTTGGGGAGGATGATGCGATGATTTCAGGCTGCTTCTTAGGACGACGGGGGGGTGGGGGTGGGGAATGAATCAAGCATTTCTCAGGCTCTGGTTTGGTCTCAAAACAGTCAATATTTATGGCTTTGGAGTTTGGGATTTTTTGTCCAGGTACTTTATGGCATCCTGGACCCACTTATTCTTGGGATCAGCACAGACCTCCTTGTTCAGTTTGGTCTTGAAACTGTGGGAGAGAGGGGAAGCGATTAGAAGGATTCACTTTGAAAATTGTGTCCATTTAACCCCAAATTTCATGGGGTAGAGGGGCTGCCGTGGGAGAGCGGGAAGGGGACAGAGGAAGGATGGGACTCTGGGGTTTCCTGCTGCTTCTGATGGCCCAGTCAACCCACCCTTGCTCCTGACTGGAAGGAACTGGTATGACCTGGACAAGCTTGCAGACAGAGCTAAGTGTGAAAATGCCCTGAAGTGAAAAATCCATGAATTGGATGAGAGAGTCCAACCCTGAGTCTATGATTCCAAGTAACTCAGGAGCAGTTCCTGCCCTCTGCCCTCTAGAAATGCATGTTTGGGCGGGGAGAGGGTGAGCTCTGCCTACTTACACCACGGCTTTCTGGGGACATCTGCTGTCGGTGAGTCTTGTGTAATTTTGCAGTTTCTGATTGGGGATCTTCTTGCTGGCCACACTGAAGCAGCAGAGGGTTGGGACCTTCCCTGAATTTGTGGGAGAAATGAAAGAAAGGATGAACCACTAATAATATGTAGCTATTTTATATTTTTATTGATTTCAGAGAGGAAGGGAGAAGGAGATAGAAACATCAATGATGAGAGAGAATCATGGATCGGCTGCCTCCTGCATGGCCCCCCTGCTGGGGATAGAGCCTACAACCAGGCACGTACCCTTGACTGGAATCGAACCCGGGACCCTTCAGTCTGCAGGCCCATGCTCTATCTGCTGAGCCAAACTGGTTAGGGCTGTAGCTATGTTAAAGCATGCCTTTGGGAGGAAGGAAGGAAATTTAGGAGAAAGCAAGAAAATACAAGAGAAGGAGGTAGAATTCATCTGCTCTGAGGTCCTATACTTCTGCCTTTGACTGTGGTCGCCGGCTGAAAAGTGAGGACCTGTCCCCATTGGCAAAGTGTAGAAGAAGCTTGGTCAGTGCAGTAAGCTCTAGCTCTGTTGTTACAGGGCTATGGAGCTATGTGCCAACCATAGTACTGTTCACCAGACACCCCCCTTCTCTGCTTTCTGGATGCATGGTAGACTTGCATTTCTTGGCCACTTTTGGTTGGTTGGAGCCATTCACTAGTTTGGACCCATAAGTGAGAAACCAAAGTGACAAGTGCCATTTCTGAGCTGGAGTTAGTGATTTCCAGTGTAAGAACCCCAAGGGCTAGCTTTCCCTTTGTCACGGTAAGCAGCAAGACTTTCGAAGGTGGCTGCTCATCAGCCTAGGATCCTGAGCGTATGAAGCAGAAGGTCTAGCCAATACACGATAGACTTTCAGTATGAGTAAGAAATTAACCTTTCTAGTTTCAAGTCACTGGTCATTAGAGCTGTTTGTTACCACAGCCTGAATGATCTTATTTGTGCGAATAACATGCAGTACATCTAAGTCATCAGAGCATGAAAAATGCTCTGATTTCCACCCCCCCCCAGACTCAAAACATGTCACCTCAAGAGATTCCCCTGGAACCTCATTTCCTTCCTCTACCCACCATTTCTGAAAGCTTCTCAGAGTCCAGTGAAAATTCTGGGCCTCTAATCAAGCAATTGTTTCCCAACTACCCACGGGGCCCACAAGAAGAGAAGGTCTTTCTTTTGTGTGTGCCCCATCCCTAAACTCTGCAAAGGCAGCCAGATCATGGATATACTCTGTCTCTCTCAACAGCCATGTCAGAAAGGAACATGGGACTGGCTTGGGTCTCTCTTCCACTGATTGTGAGGTTGGGCACTACTTGGGTTAGGTTAGGGTTAGGGTTAGGGTTAGGGTTAGGGTTAGGGTCAGGTTTATCACACTACTCATGGGGCCTGTTGTGATAGTTCAGGAGGTGGTCAGCTGTCCCACAGGGAGGGGGCTTACCTGGCTGAGCGAGCACCTGGGTGGTGAGGGCGGCCATGGTGAGCGACAGGCACAGGAGCGCTGCGGAGACCTTCATGCTGGAGGGTGCGGACGCAGCCTCAGTGTGGGAGTTGTCGATGTTTGTGCTTGTCTCAGCCTCTCGTGGGAGTTGTCCGGGGTGTGCTTGTCTCAGGCTCTCTGCTCCTCTGGCTATTCCGCCTGCCTTTTAAAGACGATAGAGAAGAGTGGGAGCTTCTAGGGAATCCTTCCTCTTTGCAAAATCATGGCCAAGTCATCGAGGGAGGTCCTACATTGATTACCAAATTCTACTTCCTGGAAAGGACGAACAATGGGCAAAGTAGCGGAAAGAAATTTGGCACATTTTTATCTATCTTGGGGCTCAGCATGGGGGAGGAAGGGAGCTTATGAAATGACTGAGCAAGGGCGGTAATCCGAGAAGGTCATTCTACGAGCTCTGCTTTTCCTGAGATGAAACATCTGTAGTGGGGAAAGGAGTAAGGGAACCAAAGGCATGGAGAGATGAGGCGGTCTGAGAACCTTCCCTGGCCCCTGTGTTCACATGGTGGTCTCCAGGATTTGGGAGGCCAGGAAGGGGCCTCAAATTTCTGCGTGGCTCCCACCCAGAGGCAGAGAGATCTCAGCAGCTCTGAACATGGCCAGCTACCTGGGAACCTCACCCCTATTATTTAATCTAGTGGTCATAGAATCTAAGTGCCCCGGAATTTTAGTGCCATAGGACATCAGAACTGGGGAGCTCCTATTGGCCTGGACTTTTTGGGCATTTACCTCCAGCTTTATTGGGGAATAACTGACAAATAAAGATTGTATACATTTAAGGGGTATGATGCATCGGTTTGACATACACATACATTGTGAAATGCAATCATTTACCACAATAACTTTCATGTCCATCACTTCACATAGTTACCCCCTCCCTCTTTTTTTTGGTGGTGAGAACACTTAAGACCTACTCTCTTGGCAAATTTCAAGTCTAAAATATAGTCACCAGGCAGTACATTAGGTCCCAAGAACGTAGTCATCTGAAACTGCATCTTCAAAGCAAATGAGCCACGGCCACCAAGGAGCTATCTGAGGTGAAGGACAGTCCTATCCGTGTTCACTACTTTATCCTCTGCACTTATCATAACACTCAAGAAAGAAATGGCTTTCAAAAAACAAATAAGGAGTAAAATTTCTCTTTAGCAGGCTGTATGTTATGTTTGCACCATTTGACCAACATCTCCCCAGAAATACAAAGAAAAACCACCCCACACCTGTTAGGGTGACACTTCTCCACACCTGGTAGGATGGCTAGTGTCGAATGACAAGGCATGATATGTTTGCAAGGCTGTGGAGGAAAGCAGAGGGAATGTAAATTAATGCAGCCACTATGGAAAACAGTATGGAGGTTCCTATGCATTTCTTAACTATTTCTTTTAGCCCCTCAAGCATTTTTCCTAAATGGAATTAATAGCAAAAGCCTGTTCATCAAATACACTGTAATGGAGTGGATCTGTTTGAAGCAGAATGGGTGGCTCCCTAAACCCGCACACCCCAAGGATTCAAGAAACACATATGAAAACCAAGAGACTTAGTTCACCCTCACTCCTGAGCACACACGGCAGAGGAGGTGCTCAATGGCTAAAAATTGCAAAGGGAAAGAGAAGAGAAGAATAAAGAGCATATGTTTCCTCAGTGCATAACACAAGGCCCCATCATAGGAGATGGTGCAAGGGGCAGCAGACTTTAATGGGGTCTTTAATGATGTCCTTACTTAAAGTCTCTAATGGGGTCACTGTGGTGAATTGAATACTGGCACTGAAGCACTGCAAGCTCCTCTCCTGCCTTTTCCTGCACGCTGGCATTTCAAATTAATTGATTGGTTCAGTTTGCTCAGAGAGATGTGTTGAGATTCTGAGGTCTTGCCGAGAGTTAGGGAACTAACCCAAGGTCTCAGTCTCATCTGAATGCTCTTGTCCATTTATGGGCACAGAATTAGGAATTCTTGCTGGCCTAGATGATCTCTAAGCTCCCATCCTATATAATAAAAGGCTAATATGCAAATTGTCCCCTCGACCAGGAGTTCAACCGGGAGTTCGACCAGGGGGCTGGCCCACCAACTGCCCGTAGCCCCTCCCCCTGGCTGGCCCTGCCCCCAATCTCCCTCCACCCTCCTGATCAGGGGCAGGCTGGCCAGCCAACCTCCTGCATCTCCTCCCCATGGCCGGCCTGGTCTGATTGGCCCCAATCAGGGTGGGCCAGCTGGACCCCACCCATGCACGAATTCGTGCACTGAGCCCCTTGTGTACAATAATTGATCTCCAATTAGCTGAAAAGGGAGCAACTAGAGGTCAGAAAATCTGGTCCTTCCTTATTCTTTTCTGTCCATGGCCAGGTGAGGTAGTCTAGTGTGGATTCTGGAATGAGGCTCCTGAGTTGGAATGATGGCTCTGCCACTAACTAGCTTTAGTACCATGGATAGCTTACTAGCCACTATCTGCTAAGTTAACATGGGGGAACCTTAGAGGATTGTTGTGTGAATTAAATTAGTTAATATATATCTACTACATATATTGCACCGTGTCCAGCATGGCCAGGAGTGAACCTGAGGGGGTGGGGCAGGCAGTGAAGGATTAAAGAAGACAGACAAGAGAATACAGTTGAGGTGAGTAGGACACTGTTCTTGGATGGAGAGACAGTGCCACAGCCTGTAAGCTGAGTCTTTATTCTATAGTCAGATCCCATGAGGCAAAGAAAGGACGTGGTCAAGATGTTTACAATGTTCTCTTGGGTTTTGAATCTACTCAATTCCATGCACCTGAGAACTCTATTTAGCTTTGTTTTGGCAGCACTTGCTGCACCTCCTGCAGCCCACATCACTCAGTCACCTGGGACCACAGGTTCAGACCATAAGGTCAAGCTTACAACCATAGCCTTTGGCTATAATTGTGCTGGGAGGGCTTTGGCCTCCAAGCTGGGACCTGCACATGGCTTTGCCATGAGAGGACCGTGCCCCCTCATGAGTCCGAGGCTTGAACCTGTCCAAACGCTGTAGCTGCTCTCCACAATACATAACGTGCTCAGAAGAGTGACCAGATTACTGGTAAAAGTTCATACTTATTAGGAAATGAGACAGGTTTTGAGGGTCAGGGGATGCTGGAAAAGGACTCGGAGTCTGGTCACATTGCTTCCTCCAGATCTTCTCCCCAGTTTTCCCATTACTTCCAAATAAGGAGGAGGGAGAGGAGGAGGAGGGTGAGGAGGAGGAGGGAATTTATATTCCAAAAAAAACATGTTACTCTAGGGTGAGTTGCACATGTGGGAGATGGGAAGTCGCAGAAGTGTCAGTATGAGTTGGGGATGCTCTTGACCTTGGAGGTATTTGGCCAACATTCATGGGAAATTATGTTCCCTGAGTAGGAATAATTTCGTAACTCTGCTGGGTTGGAGGGCTCTATCAGTGAGTAACTTTCCATTTTTCAGTTGTCCTCCAAGGGCTTTGGGTTAATCTAAATGGTAAAAAACTCTGTGGGAATAAATAAACTCAATCTTTAGATGTCCAAGGTCAGCAGCTGTCCCGTCCAGCTGCCTGGCTGTCCCTAACACGGGGGAGCAGCTCCACTGGCTATTTTGTCTCTTCCTCAGAATTCTCTTCCTCGGCAGTGATCTTGGCTGGATCCACTCCTTACCTTGGTCTTATGCCTGGGAAATGTGGGACCTGGGCCATGAATGACTGTAAGTGATGAGCAGGAAGTAGGTCCTTCTCTGTGAGAGCAAAATCTTATCCTGAATGAGTAGGAGACTCAGGTCCTGGGAAGTAGGACCCTGCTTTATTTTGCAGCTCTGCTATAGATTTCTTCTCATAGTGCAAACTTATATCCAGATGAAAGAGATGTTAACATATGTGGTATTCCAACTCTCTCTCTTTCTCTCAAAAAAACACACAACCCAAACAACAACAACAACAAAAACACAGGGACCTAAGACTTGGGAACTAGTAACAGAATCCCTAAGGCAAGTAGTATGTTGTAGGCTGAGCTGGTTCTAGAACCTTTGTCTCTTGACTCCCAATCTAGTGAAACCTTTAATGCGTTAGAGTCCTTGGACTCAGTTTTCCCGTCTGCAAAACAGGACCACGTAGGGGCTGCTATCTCTCTTTCTCAAGGGTCACCGAGACCATGCCTGCGGTTTCTTGTTACTTTCGGAGGAGAATGATTCCAAAGTATATGTTAGTATACAATTTCTAACAATATGTCTAGTGAACAGCAAGCTCTCAATAGCATGCTAACTTGCACAATCTATGCAAAGTCACATTATTATTGCATTTTACGGGTGTTGACTTATTTAATCCTCCCAAGAAATCTATGAAGTAGATATCTTAATTAAGTTCATTTTAAAAATGAGAAAACAAGGGTTTAGGGGCGTAAAATGACTTTCTCCGCTGTGCAACCATTTATAGAAGTGAAGGCTGCTTCTCAGAGTTGCCATCAGAAAAACCAAAGCCCTGTTGTATAAAATATTCTCACTGCAAGTTACAACATCGCGTACAATCCTCTTGGGGTGATCAGCTACAAAGGTGAACACTGAGGCATTGGATGCTGAAATAGTTCCCTGAACCATTGGTCGCGGTAATGCATAGCATACGCTTCAACAATAACAACCATGGACATCTCAGAGACTCTTTGTAACAGATACTTATTTTTTGTTTATGTCATGGCCTCGTCTTGGTCAAGCAGCTTGCTGAAGGTACTCTCTTCTGAGGAGTGACTCAGGGACCAGGCTCTTTGTAAATTACAGCCGTCGTCTGGAACATGTAGCTCCCAAGTCCCCCCAGGCAGAGGGAGAGCGGGCGGGAGATTGCGTAGGATGTTTTGAAGAACCACTCATGGAAGTGGCTTATAGCAATTCCATCTACATCCTGTTGGCCTAAACTCATCCTATGACTCTCATCTAAGTGCAAAGGAGGCTGAGAAATGAAGCAGAGCACAGGGATATTTGGTGAGACAAATAGTTTCCCATCACAGTCTGTTCTTGGCTCACTCTTCTCAACAGAGGTTAACGCAATGAACCCGTCCCTAAGACAGTCCTACGGAGTCCTTGCGTCAACCTAAATGGCCAGGACCTCTGCATGGCAGATGGTCCTCTCTGGCGGGTGAGTAGGACATGGATCTCCTTTGTCAAGTCAGCTGTGATCTAAGAAGACAAGTTATTTGCCCGTTGCCTGATTTTTAAGTTTGGACAAGACAGCATCCTCATTGG